ATATATTATTCTTGGTTCAACATTTATTTTTTTATTCATGTGTTTACCGCCCATGTTCACTCACTATTTTAGATTATTAATTTTACTAACTCTGGTTATATTATAGTATGTTTTGATTTTATTTTTTTTAAATTGTTGATTCATTTTAAAGATAAGTTTGATGAATTAACACGTTGAATGGGTATCAAACTTATTATATTATTTATAATGGATATAATGTAGCGATGCAATAAGATCTTTCAAGAAGGATACTTTAATAACAAACATTTTTATTTCATTGAAGACGTTCAAGCTAATAATTATTTTATAACTTTTAAAGTTATTTTTTGAATTAAGTTTAATTTTAGTTGTTACAAGAGATTCAATTAATATTTGGACACCTGTTTAGCCATCTTTTTATTACACCATAATTTCATAATTTTATACTTTAGCAATTGTTTGTATGTTATTGAAGCACCTGAAACAGAAGCATTAACATGTGTTGAGGTTCGGAACAAGTTACTCTTTTCTTCATCAAGTTTTATCATAACGAATAAATTGGTAAATATCAAATGTAAAAAAACTTATTACTAATCAAGATCGTTTTAATTTTTGTGCATAATTTACTCACACAAATAATGTTACACATAAATAATCATTTGATTCCAAAAACAAAAATGTATACGCAACATTTAGCACTTTCAAAAAAAAAAATTACAAAATTAAATGAAAAGGAGAGTATTATGTGTTGTAATAACATGTCTGTGTTAATAGTGATGTCAATAAGAATTGTTATTAATAATTGATTTGTTGACTGCAGAAATAACTAACAAAACTAAAAATAAAGTGAAGAACAAAAATAAAATGATAAAAAAAAATAAAATTTGTACTTTATTTTTATTTATCGAACGTCAGGTGGACAATAGAAAAAGATGTGGGCATATTGATACTTTATTTATTTCTTATGTTATACTGTAATTAGGGGTCGTTTGGTTTGAATATGAGTTATGATGGGATAAGTTATGTTGGGATAAGTTATGTTGGGATTAGTTATGATGGGATAAGTTGTCCTGGGATTATTTCTTATTGAGTGTTTGGTTTGTTATATTCAAAATAATATATATTGATAAATTTTAAGAACAAGTTGTTTGTTTACAAAATTACCCTTCACTTTATTTAAACTTTTTAAATTTTTCTTTGTGAGCTTTAGTTATTCATTTTTTAAAATAAAACTTTTATTTTTTTTAACTTAAATATTTTTGTTTATGTATTCCCATGATAAGTACCATGTGTATTTAAAAATATAACTTTTTTCTTATTTAGCTTAAAAATAGAACTTTCCTCTTAAGTTTATTAAAGAGAAGAAAATTTATGAGAAATCAAAATAAAATAAACATAAGAATTAGTCAAATAAATTCATAAATAAAAATTATATTTATATAGTATAATTTTTTAATAGAAAAATATGTATAATTATCATAAAAATAAGGAGTAGTAAATATTATTATACATGGTATTAAAAAAAATGTAAATATACATAAATGTAAAAAATGATATATAAAAAGGATTTAAAGGGACATATTTGTCATTTACCTATTCTATCTCGGGATAAGTTATCCCGGGATTACTATACCACCCATGGGGAGGGATAACTTATCCCGGTACTAATTATTAATCCCGGGATAAGTTATCCCGGACTTGCCAACCAAACAACATAATTTTTTTTTTATCCCATCACTATTTCCTTATCCCATCACTATTATTTCTAATCCCTCACACCAAACGAGCCCTAAGCATGTTATCTAAGAGGTTTAGTGATAACAAAAATAAAGAGCACATTATTTAGCATTTGAAAAGGCTTTAACATATGGATGAAAGAAGAACTCAATAAATAGTTATCATTTACATTTTTAATAATGTTTTCGACTCATCTAAATATCGAGTTTAATTTTGTATGAAAGTCATCATGTTATTTTTTATCAAATACAATTTTTGTTATTGATAGTTTATTTTGGTTAAAACATATTCATGTATATTTAGGTGATGAACGAAAATTAAAACAATTAATCATTTTTTAATATTTTATAATATTTAAAAATTCTTAAAAGAACTATAGTAGTAAAAATAAGTTTCAATTTTTTAATTAATAACAAATTTATTAAATAATTATTCATTGCGCGAAGCACAGACAAATTCACTAATATTATAATAAACTAGATTTAATACACCTAAAAGAGCACTCACCCCTTTAACCACTAAAATAATTACATAATTGTGTAAATACTATATATCGTTATGTATTCAATATGTATATATATTAATAAACATTGTCTATACAATATTTATATATTATAATGTACAATTCATCTTTGTCGAAATTCAGCTTAAACGTTCTCTAACAGTTTTAATTTTAGTTATGCCAAAATTTTCATTAAAGGGTGTCAGTGTTTGTGGTAAAAATAAGTATTATGAGCCTAGTACATTGGGCTTGAACTCGCAGCCACAAGGAATTTTCGCAACTTCTTAACCATTAAAGTAAACTTTCAACTTATTCTAAAAGATATCAATACTTATATATATATATATATATATATATATATATATATATATATATCTTTACACCCCTTGGAAAAGGGTGACTCCGCCTCTGAGCTCCTCTTTATATTTTGAGTCTTTTAATATGTTAATCACTCAAAAACATGTGTTAGTTGTGCAGCAAACATGTGTTTCCCACGGGTGTTACTTTACATCTAGAACCTTGCAGCTAAACCAAAAGGGCTTCTTACATTATTGTGCAAGTAATAAAAAATTCAACAAAATAATTATATGAATATGTAATGTATCGATATAAAAAAAACAGTTGTGTATTGTGTTAATATTGTATAAATAGTTATGTAATGTATTGATATTGTATAAATAGTATATATGATATAAAATTATTTATTAGAGATGTATATACATTCATAAACACTATTTATACATTACAACAATTTATATTGTTGAACGAGCTGATTAATTTTATTTTTTCAATCAAGACTAACTAAAATATCTTCTAAATAGTTTTAAAATTTAGATTTGTGCTCTCACGATTTAAAATATTATACTCAAAACAATTCACATTTACCTGCACTTTTTTTTTTGGTTTTCCACCCGGTGTCCGGAGCCCACATTGGAGCTCCGACTAAATTCGAATCGCGCTTTGCAGGGCCCATTCGGAGGTGACGCTCCCAACAAGATTTTCTCCATACCCAAGGCTCGAACCCGAGACCTCTGATTAAAGATGAAGCACTCTCACCAGTGCATCACAACCTATGTTGGTCAACTTTGCTAAGAAGAATGTTGACCGACCATATTTTATATAATAAATGTTGATTGGATCCTTTTAAATAAAGAGGTTTGACTCAATGAATAGTTTTATTTAATTTTTTCAAAATAAAACTCCTTTTAAATGATAAAAGTCAATTCAAGTAGTACTTATCAGATTACACATATTTTTCTTGAAAGAAACTAAATTGACTCAATTTTTAGAAGAATCCAAATCCAAATACAAATTTTAATATTGGTTGAATCAATTATTGTATCATTTTATAAATAGTGCAACCAACTTCATTTGCATTTCTGAAACACCATGTCTCTCAAAATGGATTTTTACTCTTACTCAAAAATTCTACTTTCATTATTTATTTTATCACTCATCAACATCAACGCTAAGCCAATAACAAATTCTCCCATTCGTTTAAATCCAACAATTTTCCAACGTTTTACGAGTGACCTCCCTGAAAATACACCTTTACTGAACATTCATTGTAAATCTAAAGATGATGATCTTGGAATTCAAACACTTAAACCGGGTGATCTATATCATTTCAAATTCCATATGAATTTCTGGGGCACTACTCTTTTTTATTGTTACTTTTCCTGGGGTTCAAAGCATAATAATTTTGATGTCTTTAAACAACATGGTGGCATTTGCTCAGATCATGGTGAGCTGCTCAAAGATTACTATTGCAATTGGTTGCTGAAGGACTCTGGTATTTTTTTGGCTTATGGTCCTAATCCTACACTTGACGAATACCAATTTGTCCATCCTTGGTTATCATAAAAAATATTTCTTTGTTATGTACATCTTTATATATAAGAAGTAATTTTTTTTATAATATACTTGTGCACCCCCTCCTACCCTCATCCCCGAACATTAAAAGAAATGACAAATTTTATAGTAAGAAGATCTTGCATCGGATTAATAAATCGATACGATTTTAATTATCTTAGTTATGTGATTAAAAACATTTTTAGTTTCAGATATATCAAATGCTTAATTAATATCTGATTAATTATGCGTAGATTGTGATTTGTGAATATGATAGATGTTTATTTGAGATTAAATTAGCATCAACAACAAATGTGTGGTTGAAACTTCAGATTGAAATTAGGCAAAAAGAAACATCTAGAATTCCTAGTATGAAAGTAGAATTATAACTTTTTGGATTTTATAGTAGCAAATAATTTAGAGAACAATAAAATATTTGCGGTAGAAAGATCATTGTTTAATTAACTAGCACTTAATCATATAGAAAGCAAATTAGAGTAGAAATTTAACACAGATTTAATAGGGTTCGGTTAAACCATAACTCTAAACAGAAATCGATTTAATTTTTTTCACTATGGAAAAAAAGAAGAAGGGTACAAAATAATGAATCCCCTAACTATACATCAAGAAGTCACAAACCTACAAAAGAAAGGTTTTCTCAATCAAGTTCAAGACATAATTGACAATTTTTTCTACTCACAACACTAACATGTAAAAATACTATATGCAATCTTACTTTACATTTCTATATGAGGTTGTTTTCATAGGCTGAGCTTAAATATGTAAGACCTTTTGGTCACACGAGGGAAACTATGGGGTCATTTGGGTGTGAACAAGTTATCTCAGGATCAATTATCCCGGGATCATATGCGATAACTTATCTCATCACTTATCATGCCTATCATGAAGTTGAAGTAGTTAGACTAGTTAGTTACTTCCACTTCTTGAATTTGCCTTGTTTGAATTTGCCTTTCCCCTTTCCTTGCTTAAACTTGCCATGCCCGTTGCCATGCTTTCCATGATCATAATGTCCATAATGAGCGGTACCTGGTGCAGGGTAATGACCTCCGCCGTGTCCCATATGATGAGCACCATACGCGGCTGCTCCAGCCGCTGCAACTCCCGCCATCATTCCATGTGCTACTTACAGATACAGATTCAGAATTTAAACTTTGATTAATGGACAAGTTGAATGAAAAGAAGTTAAAATTACCTTCTTATCCTTAATGAATTAAACACAAATGGTCAAAAAGTGTTTACCCCACAATTTTCGGAAATCTTTTTTTATTTTTTCTTGAACTTTGTACCAAATCTAAGATCACTTAAATTGAGACGAAGGAAAGTAATTGTGAGCACTTGTTATCTTTTATATATTCCTTCTTTTACCTTTTACTTTTGTCATTTTTTTGTCTTTTAAAAGTGTTTTGTTACAATAATCGTATATCAAGACACATCTAAAAGTAATCAAGCAATGGTACCTGCATGGTGTGGAGCGGGTTGACCAGGATAACCCGCCTGTGGATACCCTTGTGGAGGATATCCCTGTGCTGGAGGATAACCTTGTGGCAGATACCCTTGTTGAGGAGGGTAACCCCCTTGCTAAGGAGGGTATCCTCCGGATGCTGGAGGATATTGACCTCCAGGAGGAAACTGCCCTCCGGGAGGATACTGTCCTCCAGGAGGATATTGTGCATGTTTATCCTTTCCACCTCCCATTCTTCACAAGTACCTCGAAGTGTCAAAAAAAGGCAAAATGGAATTAACTTTCAATATCATAGAATTGATCAAGAACCACATGAAATCAAATTGTTGCACTTGCAATACTAACACTAAGTAGGCCAACAAATAAGTGAAAATTAAACGATAGCATGAAGTAATGTATATATGTGACCTCTTTGCATGTGACAAAGTTATACTCTAGCTAGAAATTGTTAAAACTAATATGTTACATATGTTTAAGCAAGTGAATTGGGAAAGAATTGTAACAAGACAAATGATTATTAATTACTCTTATTATCACAATATTCTCAAAGGTCAAATTCAAGACCAAACGATCCCTCAATTCTTGATGAAATTTAGAGATTACATAATAAATTCCTAAATAAGAAAAGTTTCAAACATAATAAAAAACCAGCAAATGTCACAAAAAATTCCTAACATACAATCGAGAACATTATATTGCTTACTATACAAAAAAAATAAAAATACGAACTTCGAAAATTCATATACACTAATCACAACAACAACGAAATCAATGTAATTGCACCGGTGAAGTCCGACGAAAATTCATATAAACTAACAATAAATAAATAAAATAAGAAAAATTCATGAAGTGGAGAGGGTCCTTACAGATTTCCTTATGAAGATAAAAAAAAAGAAAAAAAAAAGTGTATATTAATTAATTGAAGGAAGAATTTGAGAAGAGTGGATATGGATGAGTATTTATAGGCCATTTTACTCTTTTAAATATTTTCCAAGTGTTAATTACACCATATATGACGTGATTAATTAATTAATTAATTACTACTAATTGAGGTGTTCAATATTTTTCTCCTCTAGAATTTCTAGTTTTTCAAATTTTTATATAAATATATTACCTAGAAGGCAAAATTAAATGACACTTTTGATCTCTTAATTATTGGTGAATTCAAATTTAATCCTTGTGAAAAAACGCATTTAACCTTTTATTAATTGAAGTGTGTGTTTTTGGTCCTTTTATATAGGAACATGTTAATGTTTGAAATATTTTTAGAACTATATTATTGTCGGAATAGAGTTAAGGGTCAAAAATACAATTAAAGTATTTCAACTTTTTGAGTTTTATACCTCAACTATCACTAAATGTTTATTAACCCTATACCTAGTACTATTTATTATTACAAAAGAGTATTTATGGTCAACCTTTTTCATAGTAAATTGACTTTTGTTGTCTTTGTTATCTATACTATTTTCTAGCCTTGTTTTCTTCTTTTCCTCATTAATTCTAATGTTAATTACATAACATAGGCTTTTGACTTGTTCCCCAAATAAATCTTTTATTTTTATTTTCAACCTTTGAGTTTTGAACACCTCTCCACAATTCAAGCCTATACCTTATACTAAATAGAAATTAAACTTTATGTTTCTTTCTCTAATGATAGGTCATTAGAGAAAAGCAACAACCAGATGCAGGAGAATATTAAGTGCAAAACTATATAAGCCTAGTAACAACTTAAATTAATTAATCTATACTACATAAAATTATATAATCTACAATTACATGATAGACTAAACTGTAATCATTCCATCTTTGAACATGGAGAAAATCCAGCAGACTAACCCGAGCGTGCTGGAAAGGCACGCTAGGAGGGGAGTAAAGTGCCTCCTACCAAGACGTTCCATGTTTCCAAAACTCGAGTTTGAGACCTCTAGTTCAAGGTGGAAGGAACCTTACCAACCCACCACAGCCTTCAATGGTGATAAAAAGTTAAATCAGCAAAAGCGCAAAGCAGCTTTCAGTTCCTTCTCATCATTGCAGTTATATCCCAGTAAATAGGCTCGAGCTGAAGCAGTATAAGCAGAAAAAGAAGGTGAAAAGGAGTTGAGTGATTAATAAACTAGAAGACAGAATTACAACTAACATACCAAAAAGACCCGAGCCCATGAACGGTTCTGCTTCGTCTGTCGTACCAGCTTGTTGTTGGTCCTATATTTCAACAAACAAAAGGGAAAAATTGGCTAAAGTTCATTATAATGATTTATATGGATGCAAATATAGCATAAGTAGTGAGATGCTACTAGATGTTTTTCGAGACTCATTATACAAGCATCAGGTGTAAGCCAACCCTCAAAACATATATTTTGACATAAAACTATACTGCCAGATGTATTAGATCCTCATCTATTAAAACTAGTTATTAACAACCTATGTGTACACTAAGACGTTACATAATCCTAGCTGCTGCAAATGATAAATAAGAGATTCCTGGATGGATGGACATGGAGATATCACTCCTATAGTTAGGATCTAAGGGTAAAGGCCACTAACAAAACACAATCCAACAAACAATTGACTGATTGTTTATACCTTTTCTCTAACTCAGATTATATCAAAGTGAAAAAGATATACCATACATCTACATATAGACACGATTTTCATTTTAGAATTGCAACACTTCTTTTTAGAAGAATAGCATACTTTATCACCTTCAGAAACAAGTGAACTTTAGCACGTCAGTATAATCATTGTCTACTTATTCTCAGAAAATAGAAGTCCAAAAATTGGCACACATAAGCTTTTCATGTGTCCTTAAGTTGACCGTGCACACTGTTTTAATAAATAGTGAATTCCAGAATCGCTGTAAGCTACCACTAGGTTCTTACCACATCTGGTTCCATTTCATCTGGTGATAACAAAATACTATCAAAACAGTGGCCTGAAATAATGCACACCAGCAGACCATTTGTAGGATCCAGTACAACTTCCCTGCATGTGTCATCACAAAATGCACCCACACACACAAGAGAAAACCAATAAGCACAAAGCAATCACCCACAGGGATCCATCTTTCGAATTATCGAATGACTGGTTTGCACTGTTGCAAACATTTTCTTACCATGAACGTTTCCAGTTTTTTCAGGCAAATACATTGCCAATTTGATGGTAAGCGCATGTCTCTCTAGAGCAGGCATGACCATTGACCACATTATCACCAAGACCTTTGCTTTTTTTCCAAATAGAGACTTGATCAGCAACGGTCTTATCGAGAATCATACGGTCATCATTATCTGTATATTAAAGGTAGAAGGTAAGACGAATACCATAGAAAATTATTTTTTTGATAAGTAATACCATATTAGATTCTTGCCGTATGCACCAAAATGCAAATTTAAGGACGTGGGATGGATCGGTTCCCAATACTTATATTTTTATCTTTTGTTTGGTACTTATTTTCACGAAAAACATTGAGATAAGTAAATGTGCATACTCAAGGATACAGGAAAAGTCCCCTCAATCTACTGCATTCACTCAACTTCTAGTGGAGTTTCTCAAATATACAAATAGCATAAACTACTTCTCAGCTGGCTAAAAATAACCTAGAATCCTTCCTTCCCTTTGGTATTTTCAATTGTCATATACTCCAATAGGTTTGCAACTTTGTTTGAGATATTTTTTAGGTCCTAGTACCATCTATTCCCCAATCCCTTCTGTGTTTTAAATTTCAGTTTCTATTTTGGATATTTCTAAGGAAAATCAACAGGTATCCACTGCCTTGTTTAAGAGGACTGGTTGATGCATGAAAGAAAATATTCCACCCAAACAAGATTTCTACAAAAAAGAAAACAAGAAAGCCCAAAAAATGAAATTCAGAAAGTTCCCACAAGAAACACTAGAAAATGTTAATAAAAATCTCAATCAGTGAGTCATTCCTCAAGAAAACACATATCTAAATATCAGAGATGCAACATCCAATTCTCACAACGCCCTTTCCTTACACATCCATAACCTTGGGCCTCACCTTACCCCCAAGTTTAAAAAAGAAAGGAGCAAAATACATCCATCCAAATATAATTTATCGGGTAAAAACTTTATCCCATAAATCCAGTCAATAAATTCAGGATTATTTGTGATTATATTCAGGTTTGGATGAAGCAACTAGAAGATTCAAATACAGAGAAAACTAATCACCTGAGAAGGAAGAGGGGTTTGGCTTCTTTTAGCAGCTTGCATTTGGATGTAATACTCCTTCAATTCCGTTGGGCAATTCCTGACGAACTCCACCATGTCATCTGCATCACGCTACAGAGAATCCATTTCTTTTTATCTAAAGTAAACTTAATCTACAAGATGCATACACCATTTCACAACTAAAGAAAAATTTCAAGAAGCCAATTGCTCACTTTGCAGCTTGCTCTCTCCATTTCTTTCAAGATCCCATTAATTGACCATTTTCTCCGAATAAGAAAAATATCATTTTTTTGGGGGGTTAAATCCAGCCATTCTTGGTGACAGAAATGAGAAATTACAGCCAAATGCCACCCAAACATTCAACTTACACTGGGATCAACTATAAAATTATAAGTTTTTAACTTCCAATTAACACTATGATGTAGAGAATACAATTTCCGAGTTAGATGTAAAAGATAATTAGGTTAGCTGAATTGCTTGGTCGATGACAAGTGAGAATTTCACATTCGAATAAAAGACACCTTGATGTAAAACTTTTTCCAAGCACACTCCCGTGGCTTTTTTGTTGGGAGCACCAAACCCCATCGCAAGCAATACCTGTACCAAAATTTTATCAAGAAACACCAAAGTCAAATGGATGAGAAAGATATTCTGAACTTCTAATTTTTACCAAAGTATGAATCAGTAAAAGAATAAGAAGGGTTAACACATTAGGTCGTCAAAAAGTTGAGCAAATAATTTGAATGAATGAGGAGTTTAGGGCATGGAAAAGGTATAAGACTCAATACAAATAGATAAGTGTGAAAATACTAAGTCAACCCTCTTTTTTAGCGAATTAAAGCTAAATGTTTGCAAAGTAAATCACATTTTGTCAATTTAAATTACTCGTGAAGAATGATCGATTTGCAAGAAAGTATCTCCTTTGAAATATCAATTTGCAAGAAAGTAGTGATAGTGGGATTATTCCTAGATGGCACATTGTTGATGGTCTAGACCCATAGCTGTCGAAGGGATCATACCCCGGGGGGAGAATGGATCAGATATCGAGACTTGAGAGAATGAGGATCGGATACTTGTGATCTCAGAAAACCTAGAATGGATGTTGGTGGCTCTTGGCCATTGGCCCAGGCTTACCACAATTGTGCCATAACATGTCTCAGCATCTGATTTTCCTCGACACTGGCTGACTCTATTGCTGTCAATTCAGCTGGAGTTTCTAGCTGGCTCACCACAGATTCGGTATTGGTTGTCATTGGTGCTCTTCCCTGTGGTGAGCCTAGTAGAATCTCCAGCTGAATTAACAGCAAGAGAGTCGGCCAGTGTCTAGGAAAATCAGACGTTGAGACATGTTAAGGCACAATTGTGGCAAGCTTGGGCCAATGGCTGAGAGCCGCCAACATCCATTTCAGGTTTTCCTGAGATCACAAGTAGTATTTTATCCTTATCCTCTCAAGTCTCAATATTTGATCTGTTTTTTCCTGGTCTTCTATAATTTCTTACCCGGTCTTTTATTTTCGCAGACCAAAAAATAAAGTCATTTCTTTTTTATTAGATATTCATAAGGTGACTTAGAACAACAAAAAAAGACAATCAATTTTGTAAAATAAGCGGCTGACGCAATATTGTTTTGTCCAAAAATTATTTTTAGCCAAATAAAATTCAATGAAGCAATCTTACTAAAACCATGGGAGACTCAAGGGTGACTCACACATTCCCCGATCAACAAAATTACTTACCCGGTCACTAGACCAAAAAAAAAAGTCATTCCTTTTGATTAGGGATTCATAAGGTGACTTTGAACATTAAAAAACTCAATTCCAAGTGCAGACTCTAAATAAATAAATAAACCCTTTTTCAAAACCATCACTTCAAATGAAAAAACCCTCAATCGAATAAATAGGGGTGTGACAGTATGAATACTATTACAAGCAACCAAGTGTAAGGCATAGTAATACTAAAGTGGGTTAAAACTTTGGAGACTTGGTTCAACTCTCAAGAGAGACAAAACCTACTAGATAGTTTCTTCCTGTTTATATACAGTTTGGTGGTCAGAGTTACTTGGTACATGCACTTTCAATACCTATGTTGGTGTAAGAGATAGCACGTACCTGAAAGAACAATCGAGGTACGCAAAGTTGGCGTGAACACCACCCTTTTCAAGAAAATAAAGTAAAAAGAATACTAGTACAACCTATAACGCCAAGACACACAGATAATAGATAAGCATATGCAGCATGAATGAAGAGACTATGAAAAAGGAGGAGTTGAAGGGGGAAATGCAAGATGCATTGTACTTACAGCTGACGCCATAAGGATTCATCAGAAGCAACACCATTTAGAAACTTACAGACCAATGAACATGCAACAAGATCCTGCACATTGCCATAAAAAAAAATTATCAATATGAAATAACCATGGGCACACAAAAGCATAAAAATGACTCTTATTATCCTTTCTTTTTCAGTCCTTCTCTGTATAGGTTATAATATGATATGCAAAAAAAACTGAAACAACATGAATTACCTCTGAGGAAAGGAACTTGAGAATGTGATGGAGCAACTCAGGAGGGATTTTGCTGAGAATACTAGTTTCTATTGACCTTGGAGCACGTCTTATGTTGTTGGTACTAGCACCATTACACTTGCCCATACGAGTCTCACACATTTTTGCAGGTGAAGATGCACATTCACCTGCATCTTTAAATTCAATTGGCAATGCAAGAGATTGAGATGATAATAATGCATTTACCTTTTTCTCCCCCCGTTTTTCCTCAAATTTCATCCACTTTGCTCCTCTATTTTCCTCCTCCTCCTCTCGCGCCGCCTCTTTCCCCTCATCCTTCACATCTCTTAATTTCTCAGTCACATGATCCTCTTCTACGCCAAACTTATCATTATCGTCCTCAACTTCCAGTTGCTTCCATTCATCCTGAACCATATCAACCTAATTACTAAACTTCAATTAAATCCATCCCCAAATACAGCAAACAGTACCATCTCGTGCCCAGTAACACAGTCAGAAATATCAATAACTACTCTGTACACTCATAGAGACGCGGATTTTAAGATTATGGGTTACAGATTGCAATCATACTGGCTCTTGTTCTTTTTTATGTGGCGCCTACTACAATTTGGAGCAAAAAAAATTACCAATTATCTTTTATTACAATTCTGTGGTGCATATTTCAATATCACTCTCACCATCCCATTGTTTGTATTTGACTGAAAATGGAATTTAATATGTTAATCTTACTTCTATATTATGGTAGTGATAAAGGAAATATCAAATTAGTTGTTGAAAATTCAGTTTGACAGAGAAAACATAACATTGAAGTTTATATTTTGAATAGTTCAATGAATTTGAATTCTTGAAAGTTGTAAAAGTTAAATAGGAATGGAAATGTATCGAACATTTTGTGTCAGTACAAGAAGAAAAGATTGTCATATAAATTAGGAAGGATGAGTAATCTACTGTAAGAAGAATGTGACTTATAGTAATCTTTTATGCCGTATAAAAATATATAAATCTTAGTTCAACAAAAATAAAAGGTCAATGCTCAAGTCCATGAGTAAAAGTAAATGCATTAATCCTCCTAATTTGATCAAACATTCTTTTTATGAAAGAGAGTAAAAAATATATTGGCACATGATAACCTTTTGCCTTCACTTCGTTTTATAACCCAGAAATTCCCAAACACCAGGGGTGTTCAAGGTTCAAAACTCGGTGAATAATGGGCCCGCCGCTCTAAACTTCTCCACTTAGATACCAAACTTTTGTCTAAAGCAGGGGTCAAACACGTAACAACGACCATCTCTCCAATGGCGGAGCCAGAATTTTCAATAAAGGGGTTCAAAATCTGAAAAAATAGACACACAAAATAGCCGAAGGGGGTTCGACATCTACTATATATAACTAAAAAATTATTTTAACCATGTATAAATAATATAATTTTCCGCCAAGGGGGTTCGGATGAACCCCTAACTGTAAGGTGGCTCCGCCACTGCATCTCACACATATCGGCAATCGCATTGCGCTCTTAGCACTAGACCATATCCCCAAGGGTAACCTTTTGCCCATTTCTTTTCGTAGAAATGAATTGTACTACCCTCGTAAAAAATAACAATATCCCATAATCCATCACAGCGGCAAGAGAGGAAACAAAATGTAGCAGTATCTTAAAGCAAAAGATGGAACACACAGGACATTAGGTAAGAGCTGTTTAGACAACTTTCCAAAAGTGTGTTTTGAAAAATAAAAATGTGCCAAAAGATAAGATGGTGTTTGAAATAAAATTATTCAAATTGTTGTATTCTTTTCTTTACTATTCAGTGAAAAAATGAGTGCAAACCACTTCAAAAAGAAAAAGCTTTTTGAAAAATCATTTTTTGCAAAAAAATTCTCAAGAGAAGTTGTTTCCGGTTACTCATACCAAGGAAAAACAGATAGTAGCAGCACAAAAACTATAATACTACAATACAACAATTGAGGTACAAACAAAAAAAAAACATTAACACCAATATTAGCCGAGCATAGCCAATCCAAAACCCAGCTAAAAGAGTAAGTACAGTAAATTTGAATTCACCTAATGGATATAGCAGAATAGTTACATAGTATTCATAAATCTTCCCAAAATCATTGAGATTTATCGAGCGAAGTAAATATTATAAATTACCTGATCGGAGAAAGCGAGAACTTCGGATTCAAGGAATTGAGCGAGTGATTCATCCTCATCGTCAGAGATTACCAGACTGTAGCCTAAAAGGTCGAATATATAAGTGCTGGTTTGGCCGGTAACTGAACGCCGGCGACCGGATAATGACATCGGCGAATCTAAGCGGTGGATTAAATCGGAGAGTCATTGATAGAAAAGGAGAGAGGGGTGTTCAGCTGTTTGGGTAGCTTAAGAGTCCTGAGAAAGGTATCGGGTCGGGTTGGATGGATCCGGGTATACGGGCCAGATGAGGAGTGATTTTTATGGACAAAATTATCAAAATGATCCTTAATATATGGAATTTGGTCCTTAAGTTGTATATCTATGTATGTGTTTGTGTGATTAATTATATGTGAATGTACGTGTTTTCAAAGCAAAAGTTGGATATATGTAATTGTATATAAAGATATATCAACTATATATGTGGCGAACTGGATCCAATATATGTGTTTTCAAATCGTATGTGCACAGCATTAGCCAACTGTATGAAAGATAGGTAAAGGGTCTGTAAAGTGTGTGTGAAGATGGCGATCTCTGGCTAAGCAAACCTCGATTTTTCAACGGGCTAGGCTTTTTAGATACACATGTGTGTATAAGTGTAATTATGCTATATAATTACCTAATCAAGAACCTAAATACATGTCCTTCAATTGTATCTTCTACATCAACACTAACAATTCATCCTTCCTCTCCACTAGAGGGTTTTAGTAAATAACCAAATAGGCCAAGAAGTTGTACTGATAATGTATTTGATTTAACGCAAAAAAAAAATATCCAAGAACCTAGTAATAATAAGGAACAACTATAACTATTAACACGCATCAATCCTGAGAAAGTTAGAATCAGCTATATGAACTGTGGATGTCACTTGATTAAATCCGGCTCAGTCGAAAATACAGCAAGGAACAAAGTGAATAACAGGAAAAAGAAAATGTGGATCATAGCAGGCATAAAACACTGCAAGCTTCCAATTTCAGATCTGTGCACCACAACGCACAACCAGAGTGAAGGGATACAAAAAGGAGAAGTTACTAACTACAATGTTCAGTACCAAGAAAAGCCCCTAATGTTTACAGGAACTGCAAATTGGGAAACTTAAGAAGCCTTTTGAAAATGAAAGGATAGCAGCTTTGCAATTTCTAGAAACCCAACTTTGTCCTTGCCAGCAAATATCGTCTTCAACATGTCATCGCAATTTATCTCCTTCTTGTTTGCAGGGTTCTGCAGATCATGAATTTTACTTGTCAAAAGAAACTAAAGGGTGTATATATTGTATATGAGTATACAACCTACTTCACACATTTGTTCAAGTGGATTAAACATTTGTCGACTCAGATTAGATAATAACTATTAACTAAAGAAAACTTTTTTTTCTCAAACATCAGAAGGATGTGGATTGTCCTCAACCTGAGAAGAAACTAAAAAAATCACTAATTATGATAGTTTGAAGAAATCAATGACAATCATCTTGCTATAACAACACTCACAATAAATCTATGCCTCAAACAACTAGTAGAAGGAATGCTAAATGATTATAAATCATCATCTCAAAGGCCACAAGTGTAATATTTTTCCTAGAACCCCAAGTGTTGGTGATTGTTGATCCGTCACATGTTAACTACATTACTGTATTTTGATGAAACAATACCAAATTTCAATATGAACAAGCGAACAAAACTCTGCCCTAAAAATTGTTGTTGTTCTTTGCATCTAATTGTATCTCAAACAAATGAACTAACATGAAAAGGCATCTTTTACAAGAAAACTAACATAGAAAAATGGTAGCAGGGTAAGTTACCAATTTCCAAAAAAGAAAATAGTAGGAGTGTAAGCAAATGGGCAATATAGAGAATCATGATTGGCTACATTGTGTTTTGCTTTTCCATCAAATACACTTTTAAGGAGTATCTTATATATATCCACAACGAAATTATACTTTCAAGTCTTAATATTGGCATAGGTTGTTAAACATGCTTGAACTGCTGGTTTGTTATATCAGCAATTATTTTCAGCTTGGCTTTATAAAGGATGCCCCAGCTGGTAATACAAAGTGTTGACGTAGCTTGAGAATAAAAGCTCATGCATTATTCAGCACACGGCAATCAAATCTATTCCAGGGACCCAAGCAATGAGCATCCTACTTCTTCATATAAAGTGCCGCAAAGTCAATACTTGTCAAATTATCGTACATTTTGAAATAGCAGAAGACGATATCCTACCAACCAGTTTATTCATTACCATGTAGTGTGCTAATTCTATTCTGGACCAGCCACTAATCACCCAAGAGCTATAATGACCAACCAAAATAAGCCCAACTCTTAGTATATGTGCAGCCTTCAGGAAGTCCCGTAGGGCAGAAAGTAAAATAACAGAGAGGGAGAGAGAATTGATCATTTGATATCACATGTCAATCAGTAGCCTAACTCGTCACAGAGGTCTTACAACCTCAATGCCAAAATGTCAAGAGCCCTTTGGATCCCTCACCCTCTTGTAGTCTACTTTCACAGGGTCCTTTGTTCCACTATCAACCAGTCTACTAGATAGGAAAAACAACAATATCTTTTAATCCGGTGCATATTTTCAAATCATTTGTAAGACTTCCTAATCTCGCAGAAACAACTAGACTTTCCAAGAATGTTAAAATTTTCATCTAATATGTGATTGAGCAAAAAGATTCAACTATCTTATAACCAAGAAAGCTAGTCAAAGGACCAGACAACAGACTGATCGTTAATTGCATCTGACATTCTAGAGCAGTCACTACTGTATTGTTAATTGTTGATACATCTTCCAGAAGCACAAGGAAAAACAATCATCCCTGTGAAAATTGTTTCATTAAAAGAAAACGCAATATCTTCCCATACCATGTTAACTATACACGTCATTTTTAGCACCTCGAATCGTCATACTGTCACACCTACAAACCTGTGCATTTGGCTTTCTGCTAGGATATGGTAAACCATCTTAAATTACTTCTTTTATTTTATCATCTAATGTGCTAGTTACTATATATCTATACTAACATTTGCATTTTACGACATTGTAGTTGATATAGCTGATACAAACACCAGGTATCCATACTTGGCATAGCTCAAGCAAAAACCCTCATTTCAGCAAAGAGTCTATTTTCACACCTCGAATCCTTCAAAAAGTTTCCAAATTAGTAATTTCATAGTACTATATCTTAACAACTTCCCAGTAACATTTCTACAAAAAAGGCTACGCCATAGAACAATACTATCAACATGCAAAGGTTTATTCTCTATCATAAGTAACATAAAGAGGAAATGGAAAGTGGACCTGAAGATTATTGGTTTTGATGTAATCCCAGATTTTCTTAACAGCATCAGTACGTGAGATTTCAGAAGTACCGACAAATTTTTGTAGAGCAGGTGAAATCGGTTGAGGTTTCAGTATGCCTTTAGAACGACCTTTTCCAGCCGCGGTTGTTGTGGTGGCCGGAGGTGTCTTTCCGGCGGAGGTCTTTGCAGCAGCCATCAGAGTTCGGCAATAGTTTCCGAAAACCCTAGAAGATGATGCCATGGTTTTCCTTGGATTCTGCAAAACCCTAAAAGCTAACAATGGAGAAATGGTGAACTCGAGGTTTTTGGTACGAAGGAATGGCAAATTCGTAGTTTAAAGTGGAAAATTTTGCTTTTTCGGGTTTTACTGTGTTTTTTGAAAAACTTTGACCTGTTGGGCTGATTTAGTGGGAAGAAGGCCTTCGGGTCGGGTCACTCAAAATTTAATTGGGCTCTCCCCCGTTACTTATTGAAAAATTTATTTAAATGTACTCTTGGATTATCTAGTTTATAATTATAATGATATGGTCGAAGACTCGAAATATATAGCATTTACTCTATTATTTATGTGTTTCGCTTATATATATTGTGTATAGTATATGTATATTATAAAGATGATGGTCAAAAGCACATTTGAATGATCATTTTTTACGAGGTTCATACTTGAACTATTAGGTGTTCGTATTTTCTATCTAAACTCAAGGCCAACTCGACTATAAAGCTACTAAAGCATTATTTTGGGCCCTAATTTTTTGGGATCCTCACTTTTCTTTAAAATGTTCTATATATATTTAAAAAATTCTCATGGTTAAATTTGAAATGAAAGGTAGAAATATATGTAAGGATCGTTATATTGATAAATGGAATAGTTTTTATGTAATTGTAGTATCCTTTTTTATGTGGTTATTTATCTTATTTTCTCATTTATATCATGACGATTAACATGAACATACATTATTATTTCTATATTTACATTTTTCATTCTCCTTTCTCTATTCTTGTTCTCTTATTGTTGAATATTCTAAACCCTCTCACACGGTCAAACCTTCTGCATTATACAAAATCTATTATTGTCTGTTTACTCAGTATACTCAAAAGAGGGGCAAAGATTTATTCTCCAAAGCATTTCAATTTTCCCAAGTTAGTTGTATGCAAAAATATTGCCAAGAGTAGTAGTAGTAGCACATCAAAATTTGTGTTACATGATCAAAATCTAAATCTAACATCCTTACTTCCTTTGTTGCAGAAAAATTGAACTCTTTCAACTTTGCTCCTAAATTATGTGATCTTCCTCTTTGATTTTCGAATCATCATCGTACACGAGTGAGTGCTAGATAAGCCACAACTCTGTAGCCTATCAACATCACAGCCATGACCGAGACATCGATCCACATATTGTTTAAGCCTACTGATTCAATGGCAGGTAAGTTTGCAACTTGGCAGTAGACTCCTTTTGAACATTCATAGTAGTCATTGTCATTGTATTGAACCCCTAGAAGCAACTTGTAGCTATAGTAACTATAACTCAAGTATTTTAACCAAACGATGAACGGAGGAATCTGTTGAATGTAGTATCCTCCAGCAATTAGGAATACTAATGTTGTTACTGATGCTAATGTAGTGGCTTGTTTAACATCCATTAGTAAGGCACCAAAAGCTAGTCCGAGGCTTTGTGAAACGAGGACGTTGTAGAGGACTACTAGGAGAGATAGGATGAAGGTAGTTGGATCAGGTTTGAGCCCTCCCATCCAGTAAAGGATGAACGTAAATGCTGTTGGTAATGCTAGTTCTAAAGGCAAATCTCCCACGGTTTTGGCTAGAAAGTATGACGAGAGACGATACATTCCTGATGATCTCTCTTTGATTAGCATTCTTCTTTCTTGTGGAAATGTGAAAACTGCATTGTAGAGTGGATAGAACCCCCAAAATACCGCGAAAAAGAACAACATTGCAATCTGCAAAACAGGAAATCAAGTGTCATTGTTATTATTAGGACATTGTAACATGTAACAAGGCCTGATTGTTGAAATGGCAAAAGATTAGCTCTGTTTACTTGACCAACCTAGCGTAAAGATTATAGTAAATTATATGTTTTCGTATGTGCAAATGACATAAGGTGAACGGATAATTTCTTACTCGATCTTCAATGTGGGATGTTGGAGTATTCCACCACAATAGTCCTGCAAGAAATGCTACACTTATAACTTGAAAGATCCTAAGCCTGTTGAAGCTCTCGTGTCTTCGCTCCCTTAACCCTCTCATAAGTAGTACTTTGAATTGATGCATCCAACTTGTGCACCATTGCTCTAATTTCACACCATTTCCTGCATCGATAGACCCAACGATAGCTATTGTTAGGCACTGAATAAAGGCGATGAACGGTTTGAAGTTACTTTTTTTTCATTGTAAATTGTAAACTTACTTGTAGAAACATCCTTTGTGTAGCTGTAACTACTGTTATCTAAACTGCATACTTCAGTTTTCAACCTTGTAGAAATGTTCTTTTCATACGCGGAGATGAGAGCTTCTCTCACCGACTTCTTTTCCTGTGCAATACTGTCACCTTGATCGTTGGCATTCTTGTTATCCGGTCCAATTCCTGAAAGACCAATAATAGATTTTAAGAAGCCAAAAATACCGTAATGAAAGGAACACAGGAGTTTGTCCCTAGGTATTTGACCAAATTGGATCCTTCAAGTTTAATTTTGTCAGAATTTGGCATTTATGTGGAAACATGTTCATTTCAAGTGTGTTAAAGTGGAATGTTTTAATTACCATTCGCGAGATCAAGCAAGAGATCAGCTGGATTGATAGTGATGGATATGGAAAAACCAATAGAGGAGAAGTATTCCAAGGCAGTTGATGCAGGACCATAGTAGATAGGACATCCCTCAGAGAGCAACACTACCTTATCAAACATATAATAAAGTCGACTAGACGGCTGATGGATCGTTGTGATCACAGTACGACCACCACTTGCTAGTCGTTTAACTGTGTTAATGATCCGGAGTGCTGTTGTCGAATCAAGTCCTGAAGTTGGCTCGTCTAAAAGTAGTAAACTCGGGTTGATCAGCATTTCTTGTCCTATACTAACTCTTTTTTTCTCTCCACCTGATATCCCTCTAAACAATGACCCTCCAATCATACTGTTTCTACACTTGTTTAATCCAAGTTCTGCAATAACATGCTCTACATGTCTCACTTTTTCGTCCCTATCGAGGCTTTGTGGCAGCCTAAGCAGAGCTGTGAACAGAAGTGTTTCAATTACTGTTAAATGAGGATACAGGGCATCATCTTGTGACACGAATCCTGTTCTACGTTTGATTGAACCCGAGAATGGCTGGCTGTTGTATGTAATCTTCCCGGATAATTTGCCCGAAAGACGCCCTCCTAGTGCTGTTAGGAGGGTGGTTTTGCCACTACCTGATGGGCCTAACATAGCTAGCATCTCTCCTGGATACACAGTGCCTGTCACTCCATTTAGTATAGTCTTTTCTTTTGTGTTTGATGGTCCTCCACAACACATTCCTTTGTTTTCTTGACTAATTTTGTAAACAATCTCTTCAAACTGCACATTTAAAATGAAGACATAAGCAAAGATTATATTGAACCTATGTTGCTCGGACTTTTCAAAAATACATCAGGGTGTCTGTGTGTCGGATCCTCCAAAACCTATACATTTTGCGATGATCTAGCTAGTGCCAGTGCCAGGATTTTCACTAAGGGGTTTTAAAAAATATGAAAAAGTAAACTCTAGATAAAAAAGTAATTTAAACCATGTATAAACATGGCAATTTTCCATCAAAGAAGGTGCATCCAAACCACCCCTTCAGTCTTACCTAGCTCCGCCCCTAGATCATGCACGGGGCCTACAACACTTTTGGGAAAGTTCGAGCAACATAACATTGAACCACTAAAGAATTACAATAAGAGCAGAGTCAGAAAACTTCTATTACTCTATTTATACAGTAGAATTTTCCGACAAAAAATGTTCAGTTACCCCTTTAAACTACATGTAGCTCTGCCTCTAGATCAGAGCACATAACTGACACAATCTACTTGTTACATGTAAAGCAACAAGTAAGTACTAAAAGGTTAACAAGAGAAAAAAAATTGACCTTCAAAGTTATAGGGTACATGGCCTTTTGTAAAAAAGATTGTTGTGACTTGATCTGGACAGGGAAAGCAAGACATGACTTGTCATATTGCTTCGACGAATTAGGCGAATTCGTCGAAGCTTCCATCAAGTCTGTGCCACCATTTTCTGGTTTTGGTGTTACACAATGAAGATGCATATTGCCAAATATACTTGAAACAACTTGGACTATATATGTTTGGTTTTTTTTTAGTATTTGTGTTTTGGCTAGAAAAAAAGAACACTTAGAAAGGACAAGTTAAAGAGTTGGTTTTAACTTGAGATTGTTAAGTTGAATTGGACAACCATATATATAAATATATATATAAAGAAAGAAAGACGCACAAAGGAGTATGACTATTTCACTTTCTTTTTCTTGTGGGCTGTCACCTCTTTCTTAAAGTATTGTAACACAATCAATTTATTATACTAATATTCTTCATGTTAGTTTTCGTCTTAGGTGTGTTTGGTACGAAAAAAAATATTTTTTGGTAAAATATTGTTTGAGGAAATAAGTGAGTTTTTTGCTTATTATTTTGTGTTTGGTATCAATTATCATAACTACTAAATAGTCATTATTTTCCCACCGGACATTTTTCAGTAATGGCTATATATGTTTTGATTGAATCAGTGAGGAAAAAAAATGTTCATTGGCTATTTTCAATATTTTAATGAAAATGTGTTGTCCATCATGCATTTTTCTAGTGAACTGATTCGATGAGAATAAGATGGAAAAATCATATTTTATAACACAAAATTTTCCATGATTTGAGGTGGAATTTTTTTTGTTTCTAATGATTTATGTAAGCAAAAATAATATTATGATAAGCACAATATAATTTTTTGATGGCAGATGTTTAACTGACCCTTCAACCTATGATGACGTGGCTCCGCACTAGTAACAATTCATGGGCGGAGTGATTTGATTATCACATTTTTTGCTAAAAACTTATATCGTATACATGGAGGTTAAATGCTAGCTATCATTAGTGTCTGTTTAATCTTTTACATCCTTAATATAACTGAGAAAAAAAAATTGAACACATGATTAAGGATGTGTTTGGTATGAAGGAAAATGTTTTCCTCGAAAACAAGTAGAGTTTTGACTTATTTTCTCATGTTTGGTTGGTGAGTAGAAAATATTTTCGGAAAAGATTTTTAGTGTTTGATTTATGAATGAATTTTTTTTTGAGAAATATATTTTATTTTTACTAGAATAGAAAATAATTTTTGCAATTGAAAATATTTTTTAAAACCAAACTTAATTTTTTTTAGGGGGGGGGGGGGGGGGGGGATCGAGGGTAGGGGTGAAAAAATAAAAATTTGAAGTTGAAAATATTTTTTAAAAACAAACTTAAATTTGTGTGGAGCGGGGGGGTGGGCTAGTAGGGGTGAAACAATGAAATTTTGAAGTTAAAATATTTATTAAAAACAAAGTTAAATTTTTTTTTTGGAGGTGGGGGGAGGGTCGAGGGTATGGGTGGAAAAATGAAATTTTGAAGTTGAAAATATTTTTTAAAAACAAACTCAATTTTTTTTGGAGGGGGGGGGGGGTAGGGGGGTCGAGGATCGGGATGAAAAAATAAAATTTTGAAGTTGAAAATATTTTTTAAATCAATTAATTATTTTGTCCCTACCCTCAACAAAAAAATTGTAATTTGAAATTGGAAGGGCGTTTTGGAAAATGTTTTCCTTGAGTTTTGAAGGGAAGTCATCTTCCTTAAATTTGAGGAAAATGAGTTGATTTAGAAAACATTTAACCCAACCAAACATGAGAAAATTAGTAAATATTTTCCGGAAAATGTTTTCCTTCATACCAAACACACCCTAAATCTCTGACTCTGATTATGACACTATGATACGCCTTTAACATAAACTTGTCATTAGATATTAATTATCTATGATTATGAGTTTAAAGTTGGATATACGAAAATGAAACCAAAACTAATTGGTGCATTACCCTAGTAATTAGGGATATATAGGCAATTATTGTCGTTTTTTTTCCAATTGCATTCATTTATACGGCTACTTTTTAAATTTATTTGAATCATGACTAATAGACAATGATACTGCTTCCCAACTTTTTAACTTAATAAAGCTCTCTTTAAAAAAAAAAAAACGAAATGGTCCGATAGATCCTTCTACTTGTATGTGTTTGTATTGTGGACCCTTCTACTTGACTATTTGTCTACCGAACTCTTAAACTCAATGAAACTCTATATTTTAAGCCTTTTTTATCGTTGATCAAGCTTATGTGACAATTTAATTATTGAATTGGCACAAATGTGTGATGTCACACATAGAAGGAGCGTGAAAGATCAAATTTTAGACTACAAATAAATTTTTTTTCTTTTTAAAAATAGAATAAAAAGATCAAAAATAAGAAAATTAACTTTTTTCAGTTCTTTCTTCTTTTCCCACCCACCCATCCCCATTTCTTTTTTTTTCTTTCTACTCTCAAACCCCCATTTTTCTTCTTTCTCCCCTTTCCGACCCTTTCCAATTTCTTGTTTCTCTTCTTCTTCTTTTCACATTTTCTTCCTCCCGGGAATAGAAATGAAATTGTATTGTTGTTGTAGATATGTATTTTCCTTTTATTTTCGGGGTAATTTATAACTCATAAAGTGATAACGATTCAACAATCTTGAAAGATGAAAAGTGATTGTTGAATGTCTTGGTGAAATTAGGTGAAATGCGCTATGTAAAATTGTGTACAAATATTAGAGTATATTGATGTATTTTAATGGCTATTCGTTAACACCAATGAGGAAAATAGATTTATGGTGGTTCAAGTAGTAGATGTAAATGTTGGTAAAAGAAATACGATTAAAAGTTGTGAATGAAAGAAATTTCGAAAAAAAAAAAAAGAATGATAATTGTTAGTTATTTAGGAATATAATGATACTAGTGAGAATGGAAGGTTGTGATGTATCTCTAATGTAAAAAAAATAAAATGGAGAGAGGTGAAGGGATGAAGAAGGAATGAAGTGAAAAAGAAAGAAAAAATAGATTTTTTAAAAAATAAATAATAATACGTGATATATGTCATTTAAAATGTGATGTGGATGATGATATGTCATTTTTGTCAAGTGTTTTGAAGTTCACACAGCGAAAGGGGTTTAAAATGCTTAGTTTCACCGAGTTTAAGGGTTCAGTTGACAAATGATCAAGTAGAATAGTTCAGAATACAAACTCATACAAGTATAAGGGTCTATCAGACCATTCCGCATAAAAAAAAACTTGTAAATGAATGCAAAATTGTACATACCACCCATGGGAAGCATTTTACATTTATGCTTCTCACAAGTTGTTCCACAATATATATGTAGCGAATAAAAAAAAAATTGACCATTAAGTAACGTGATGAGATGAATACGATTTTCTTTTTTCATTATATATTTTCGATTTGAGTTTTGGAAATATATAGTTATTACTAAAAAAACTCAAAATTTGCGATGGACCACCTTTTCATATGAAACAATTGCAACAAGTAAAATTCCGATGAATTTCTAATGAAAATTTCGTTGAAAATCTCAATTTCTTTAGTATTAAGAGAAACGTATTATAGGAATCACGTCCTCCTTAATGTGCCTTGCATAACATTAGAAAGTTGAATTAATCAGACTAGTACATTTTGAAAATCACCTAATAAACCAAAAAAAAGATGAATATCCAATGTATTGTAATTGATAGTAAGATATGTAATTATATTGGGTGATTTTTTCTTTGTATATTGTTAGGCAAAAGAATAAAAAAAGATAAGGCTCTTTTCCTTGTTTTTGAAAATTTATTCTAAATATATTCCCCAACCATCACCACCCTCCAGTTTATTCTTGAAACTTAAATATCAACATTATTTGTATCATCTTGTTGGTATAATTCTTCTAATATTCATTAGAAAGTTGATGAAGTTGAATTGATTCTAAACAAATTGTTTTAATTGTTAGTTTAATATATATATATATATATATATATATATATATATTATTATTATTATTATAAGTTATCGTATTATTTGTTATTGCTATTATTCTCTTCTTCATTATTTTCAGTATAACTTTTCACTATTATTTTTGCTTTAGAATTTCTATCACCATAAAGAAAGAATAAGACTGCATACAATTCACCTTTCATATTTGTACTTATGAAATTACACTATCATGTGATTAGTGGCATAGCCACATGGTGGTCAGGTGTCCAATTGGACACTCTTCGTCGGAAAGAAATATTGTATATACAAGTAAAATAATACACGGAATGATTAAATAACATATTTTGGACACCCTTAACATAACAAGTTGATATAGCTCAGTGTTTTCACTCCTTAGAATGAAGAAGTGCTCGTGTGTTCGAATTTCATTAGTTTTACTTTTTGAGAAATTCCTGGCGCTGCCACTGCATGTGATTCTAATTTATCACACCAATAGATAATTGCATTTTGGAATCTAATCTTTTCCAACATAATGAATATTCTTAGATGCTTAAAAAATCCTCTTATAATTCAAATTCTGGATAAGTCGATTGACTTGTGTGAAAACAACCACAAAAATAAAAATAAAACTTTACATTGTTAGGGATATTTTTATCAAGTAATTTAAAAAATATTTTCTGAATTTGTTTTTCAATATATATATATTGATATTTGGTTGGTCATTATTCTGAAAATATCTTTGGTAAGAAAATATATTGCTTAAAAATCAAAATAATAACAAATTACCTCGAGAAACTGTGAAAAATAAATCATATAAATGACATTCGAAATTAATTATCAACACCGCACCTCACCTCACCCACCCCGACCACCATCACCTTTATAGTGCTTATCCAAATGGCTAAATTATATATAAATATTTTTAAAAATAATATTTTATTTTCGTTTGTACCAAACAAACCCTTAAAATAAAAAATATAAAAAAAAAAGGAAAGAGCTCCACCTCTTGGTTCTTCCTTGTTTTTTTGTTTACAAAATGGATCGTGAGTCTAACTCAAATTATATTCAAAAACTAGTTCAAGAGAAGAAAATTTTCAAGACCATATGAGGAGGAGACCATCATCTCATTAAACATCGATGTATGACTATATCACACCCTCCTTCACGATAAAAAATTGGACATTTAATGTGTGTGTTATTTCAATAAGGCGACCCATTATCGGGTAGAATCACCTTTAGTTTGATATCATATTAAAGAAATGGACCTTAGTTAGAGTGTAACTAAACCTTAAAAACTGAATTGTTCAAAATCATATTATAAAGAAATCACTCATTTCATTAACAACACACTTTTTCTCTTTCTTTTTGTTTTTTGAGAAAAGACATAAAGACACAATTAAAGTTGTCCCGTATTTGCATAAAGACATCTTAACTTTCAAAGTGTCCTATCACCCCTACAGAACTATTTAATATCGTTGTAAATGGGCCATTTTGACTCATTCCTTCGTCTGGGTTGTTACCCGCACATGAGGCGCGTCATTCAGTGTTTTCACTGCCATGGACCAGTTTAAAAGTGCCGCGTGTCATTTTCTTTCTTTATTATTAATTATTTATTCAATTTATGTCATCTTCCCCAATTTTAAACCTAAAATAGCCATTGGTAGCCCTAATTTTTCGATTTCATGGTTTTTTCCATAGCAAGATCAACGTTGGTTCTCTCTGTTTGACGACTTCATCATCTTTCCCAAGAAAATAAGGTAGGAATTCATTTTATCTTTTAATTTCCAGTATAAAATGTTAATTTAAAGTTTTTTATGGTTTAGTTTCTTCTGAATTTTGTGATTAGGTTTTGATTGAAAATTTCAAATGCAATGTTGAATCGTATTTGTAATGATGAGAATGATCCGATGTTGCGAGTGAAATTGATGCAAACATGGTGACTTACTATCAATGCAAACTTCATGGTCGGAGCATAATCCAGCTCGAAGATTTTGGTCTTGTCCACGCTATCGTGTATGTTTCCTAATTCTTTTATGGAGATCTTTTGTTTATGTATTTTTCTTTAACGTTGGTTCTCTCTGTTTGACGACTTCATCATCTTTCCCAAGAAAATAAGGTAGGAATTCATTTTATCTTTTAATTTCCAATATAAAACGTTAATTTAAAGTTTTTTATGGTTTAGTTTCTTCTGAATTTTGTGATTAGGTTTTGATTGAAAATGTCAAATGCAATGTTGAATCGTATTTGTAATGATGAGAATGATCCGATGTTGCGAGTGAAATTACGATGCAAACATGGTGACTTACTATCAATGCAAACTTCATGGTCGGAGCATAATCTAGCTTGAAGATTTTGGTCTTGTCCACGCTATCGTGTATGTTTCCTAATTCTTTTATGGAGATCTTTTGTTTATGTATTTTTCTTTAATTTGTTTTTTGCATATTTTAGGAGGATGCGTGCAACTTCTTTAGATGGAGGGATCGTGAAGATGTTGATATACGATCCAAGTACGTAATTCCGAGATTAGCAAAGAGAATTAAGGAGTTGGAAGAAGTATTGGCATCTTATGAAAGTCGTGTTGAAAGTAACCAAGTCATGACGAAGGAGAAAAAGAAGAGCAAATGTTGTAACTTGAAGCTAATTGTCTTGATTATTATTGTGTGTTTTCTATTTTTAAGTCTAACCAAGAATGTGAAGGATGGAAGTCGTAGGTGTGTGCAACCAAAATTTCCATAGACATCTTTAGTTACTTTCAAGTTTTTGAAGTCGTAGGTGTGTGTAACTAGAAGCTAAGCTAATTGTCTTGATCTTACTAGTTGTAGGTGTGTGTAACCTGAAGGATGGAAGTTGTTGAATGCTCAAGTTATTGTTGGTCTTTGTTGTTGAAATAGTTATGATTTGAACAAGTTGTTAATGTATTTGGTTCTCTTGTCTATATTATTGTGGCAACCATTTGAGAAACTTTAAAAATATGTTCAACTACAAATAAAAAGGCAACAACAAAACTGATCAAAAAGAGGACTTCATTTCAACATAATCATTCAAGTTCTGTTTGGTTACACGTAAAATTGAGTTTGATTTCAACCAAAAACAGCACCAAAATATACATAATTAAATTTTGTTTTTCAAAATGAACAAGACAACATCAAGATGCCCTACTTCCATGGCACAAAAGTCATCCTACTTGAAGTTGTTTGGCTTTGGGTATTAGCAGTAGCAGCAGCTGCAGACTTAGTTTGGATAACCTTTTCAGCCCTCATTCTTTCTAGATTGCTACTGGTAATAGTTGTCTTCCCCTTCTATTTGAATCCACGTACTGGTGTGTAGCCAATATCACCAGTAACAACATCAACCCTCTTTGTCACTCTTGTACAATATTGATGACTTTTCTACTTGGCAATCCAGGCTGCTTAGTCAGATAAATACACATTCAAATATAAGATATTTAGGCTTGCATTGACAATTGTAAACTTACATTGAGAGTTGTAAGCTTACATTGAGAGTTGTAAATCCATCTTCAGCTTGGTATATGCCAACACCTACCATTTTTGGCCTTTTAAAAGGTCTTGTTTGTCCTCCACTAGTGTCCTCATGTTCTATTGATCTCTTCTCTCTTTCTAGGCCTCTTCCACTGCAGGTTGCTTCAGAACTAGTTTGAATATGTTGAGTCATTCCCCTTCCTCTACTTAGTCCTTCATTCACATTTCTTTCTTGAGGTATTCCTCTTTCTCTACATGTTCCTGATCCTCTACATGTACCTCTCCATCTACCATTTACAGTCTGTACTTTGAAATTAAAATATTAAAGCATATCTATGTTGTCTAAAAATGATATAATAATTAGATATATTACCTCTGTGTTCGTAGCAGTTCCTTGTGATTAAGTTGAAACACCTATAGAACTTGAAACTCTCATGTGCCTCTTCCTCTACCACTTTCATTATTTGTGGTGGCCTATTAAGAGGCTCTAGGTGGTTGAGTTGAACTACTAGCCCTTGCTCTGCCTCCTGCTACTCTTCTTGCGCTTCTTCCTCTACCACTTTCAGTAGCCTGTATATTAATTTATCAATACATCTACATATAACTTACATTTGAAAGTAACAAATAAAAGTACATGTGCCTGAGAAAATGGTTTAGTTGATTGACTTGGACCAACTTGGTTTCTTGTAGGACATCCTCTTTTATTGTGTCCTTATGTATCACATTTGCTACGAGTCATAACAACACCTCTTTTGCTAAGTTTTCTAGTTTTTCTGCTTTCATCTGCCTCATTTCTTCTAACCTTACCTAGTCTTCCATGCAACTTCTTGATCTTTGGTGGCTTTACAATTGGATTATTTGATGTTGGCCATATTTTCATCTTATTCATTGGCTGAATAAAATGGGCATATGTGCTGAGGTACGTTTCCTTGCTATAACAACTAGCCACATAATAGATTGATTCCAACTCCTTGTAATGAAGGGCAGCAACACCATGAGGACAAGGAATGCCCCTGAGCTGCCAGGATCCGCAACTACAGCTCCTACTAACAATGTCCACAGTATGTGTAAATCCATGATGTTTAATCTCAAAACCTCTTTCTCCATTCCAAGTCAAGTTATTGCATAGACTTTTCAATATTTTCTTGCAAAATCTTCAAAGACATAGGAGATATATTAGTGATCCAAGTGTTTGAGAACTCTCTCAAATCACTAATTCTTTTCATCATCTTCACCCTTATCTCCTCAAGCATTGTGATTATTGTTTTATACCTTGCAGGTAGTATCCAAGCATTAAAGTTTTTTGCCATATTGTTGTCCACAACATCACATTTGCTATAGTCTTGAAAATACTTCTTGCACCATGTATTCAAGTTGTACCATAAAAGATCATCCAAACATTTTTGTCCTAATTTCTTCATTGCATGTATATTATCCTTCATCTCAGCTTCAAATGTAGATTTAGCAATCCTCCAAAACACTCTTCTTCTTTCAACTCCTTTTCAGTTTTTACACCAATTTACAAGAACATGTCTTGCACATTTTCTGTGTTCAACCAGTGGCAATACATTTTCAACAGCAATTTCTAGTCCCTAACAAACCAACATAACATAAAAAGAATAATTAAAATGCAAAACTCAACAACAAAGATCAGTAAGATAATTACCTTTTGCATATCAGTAATGATGGATAGTTGATGCCCTTCTCCAAGGTCAAGATCATTCTTCACTAGTTTAAGAAACCATGTCCAGGTAAACTGATTCTCAACCTCAACAACTGCCCAAGCAATAGGCAACATTTGGTTGTTTCCATCTCTACAAACTGCCACTAACAACTGGCCTTTACACACACCTTTGAGAAAACACCCATCAAAACCAATCAACCTCCTAGCACCTCCAAAAAATGCTTTATTTAAAGCATTGAAGCAAACATAAAATCCTTCAAAAAATTTATGTCCAGTTTCATCTTCTTCTCCAACCTTCACTACACAAGTACTACCTGAATTACTCCTTAAAATTTCATCTTTATAATAAAAAATCTTACCATACTCCACAATGTGATCACCCATGATCTCTTGTAACACTCTACTCCTAGTTCTTCTCACTGTTGTCCTACCAACATTAATATCCAACTCATTTCTAATAATGTCCTTCAACAACACAATGCTGATGTTTAGCTATTGAGTTATTCTTTCTTTGTATTTGGTGGCCAAAAACTTTGAGTTGCAAAGATAGTTATAAGTTGATGTCAAACATTTATGGACAGGGTTGTATGTTTTAACAATGACATCTCCAATAGTTTTATCCTTACTTGCACACAACAACCAAGGACAAGTCTTTTTACAACATCTCACTCTAACTCTGCCAGACTCATTCACATATTTTTCAATTTGAATGTGTTCTTGGACTGCATATCTTGTCACTGCCACTCTAAATTTTTCAATAGTTCCAAAAACCAGTCCTAATTCCTAAACAATCTTTTCAGAAGTTGCATCAAACACAACTCTATTTGGGGTTTTCTTCCTCCTAACAAGTTTATGCACTACTTGATCAACCTCTTCACTATCTCCCCAACCTGTTTCATCATCTATTTCAAAGCTAGCAGCTTCATCACTTAGATAGTAATGTTCATCACCTCTTAGCTTACCAACTAAGTTTTCCCTAATACCAATATTTGTCTCATCATACCCTATATCTGAACCTTTTTCATCAACATTAATATGATCTGAATTAGTACCTCTACTTCTCATTTGTGACCTTTTGAAATGCCTCTTGGATGCCCTTATATCTACATACTCTTGATGGACATCACTGTCAACCTCAGTATCTTCATTAGTATCCCCTTCGGATCTTGATTCATCTTCTACTTCATCATCAGTTGGATCATTATCTATTATAGGATCGGATGAAGGTACAGAAGAAGGAGGAGACACAGTAGTATGAGAGGGTGGAGGCACGGTGGAAGGAGGAGGTACAGTGGAAGAACAAGACACAGTAGAAGGAGATGGTGAAGGCACAGTCTACTACTGGTCTTCAAATGGAGTGCTGGAAGTTTCAGAAGGACCAGTTGTAGGGATGGAAGGAAAAGTAGAAGTATGAGGCTGATTATTTGGGTTAGAAGCCTCATTAAAAGATCTCTCACCTACCCCACTATCGCTCACATTGGGGACAAACCCCAATTAAATGGGGGCCTGATTGGCTTCACTAACCCCATGAAAAACATACACCTCCAATGTATCCCCATCATTTATCATATTGAAAAGGTCAAATATAACCTTATCATTATCAACAAGGACGAATAACCCATCCCACTTGATGAAAAAATCACAATTTACTGTATATCCTAGTTCCTTTATGTAGTCCCTCAACTCAAAATAAGACATCATATCCACATCTACATCTAGGAATTTTGTCATATGCCCCTCAATATATTTAGGTGGGGGACCAAATTCTATTTACCCCCCCCCCCCCATGATACCATCTTAGAGTTATCAAAGAAAAAGTCATCCTGAAAAAGCATGTAACCAAGACAAACACAATTCAAACACACATTTCAAGAACAAACTCTAACAAGCAACAGTAGCAGTAGCACTAACATTTAGCCCCATCACTAACAGAACAAAAGACTGTTTACAAATGTATAATGTACAAATTGAAGTCTACAAATGTATAAGCCCCCAACACTAACATTTAGCCCTAACAGTAACAACGAATGTATAAGAGACTAACAGTACTAACATTTAGCCCCATCACTAACAGGATAAAAGCACTAACAGTAACAGTCAATAATGTACAAATTGAAGTCTACAAATGTATAAGAGACAAATAATAAGATTCAAACTAAGTGGATAACATCAAACCCTAACCTAAAATACAATCACTAATAGTCGCACTAAGTCGATAACACAAAACCCTAATCACTAACAGTCGCACTAAGTCGATAACACAACACCCTAACCTTAACAGTAACAACGGAAAACTATAATATCCTAACAATATCCTAACAATGGCAACTAGAGGAGGTCGATTCCAACACTTTTACTCTATAATAATCCCTAAAATCATAATAATCGAAAAAAGAGAAGATATTTATCATATGATGTAAAGCCCTAACCTGTTAGACCTTCAATCTCAAAGAGTCTTCACCAAGACACATCAACAACGAGATTATCAACACCAACATGACGAGAAATCTTTTCTATTTCTTCAGATTTTAGGGAAAGTTGATAAATAAGAAAAGAAAAGGAGAAACGACTTTTCTTCAAAGAACAGGGTTGGGTCAGATTGAATTCTATCACAGGGAGTGACAACATGTGCCACTACATAGACGAGGGAATGGGTCAAAATGGCCCATTTAAAATGATATTAAATAGTTTTATGGGGTGATAGGACACTTTGAAAGTTAAGGTGTCTTTATGCAAATACAAGACAACTTTGATTGTGTCTTTATGTCTTTACTCTTGTTTTTTTTCATTTAAACATATTTTCATAATCACTTACCAGATGAGAGAGAGGAAATTGTTGAAGAAGAAGGAAGCTAACGATTGGAAGATGTCAAAGGAACATGTCCAACGAAGCTGATTGACGTGTCTGTAACAAGTGTTGATCAAGAAGGAAGCTGACGATTGGAACATGTCAAAGGAACAGGTCCAACGAAGCTGACTGACGAGCTTACAACACTGCTGTAGAATTAGAGTCACACTAGGATTAGACTATTTATATTAATTAGGATTATATTACGACTAGAATTATATTATGATTAGGATTATATTATGACTAAGATTAGATTATTTATAATTGCATTATTATTATTATTATAGTAGTAATATGTATTGTAGTAGGACTCTAAGTATAGTTAACTTAGGACTCTACAATTCTATATAGGAGGTTGTAACTCAACATTATTTTCATCAATACAATCCTTGATTTCTCTAATCCTAGACGTAATATAATCCTAATCATAATATAATTCTAGTCGTAATATAATCCTAATTAATATAAGTAGTCTAATTCTAGTATGACTCTAATTTTACAGCAGTGTTGTAAACTCGTCAGTCAGCTTCGTTGGACCTGTTCCTTTGACATGTTCCAATCGTCAGCTTCCTTCTTCATCAACACTTGCTGCAGACACGTCAGTCAGCTTCGTTGGATATGTTCCTTTGACATGTTCCAATCGCCAGCTTCCTTCTTCTTCAACAGAAATGATTAAAGGAATAACACATGAATAATGAGATTCCAATTATTTGTGTCCATAAAAATATAAATTTATGTATAGCACTTTAACATTAATTGTGGAGCCATGCATTTCTTAGGTGTTTTAGTCTTTGGAGGAAGTGGACGGCTGGGGTTGTAGCATACCCCCCCCCCCCCCGCCTCCCACCAAACAAACATTTTAATAGTTGAAAAAAGTTTCTTCTTTTTGCTAATCTACAAAACTTTTACTTTGTTTATTTGTATGTTGATTAAGAAAAAAAATGATTGGAGGGTGTGGTGGGATAACTAAAATTAAAGGTAGATGATCATGGTTTAAAATTTATGAATTTTTAAAATAATTTTATGTAAACATAAAATAATAATTGAGTTCATGATAATCAACTAACTATAAATATATTGTGTTAATTTCTTAATACAAATGCAGAACATAAACAGAAGTTATTGAATTTCTATTATCATATATCTTAAAGGCTAGATTTGTGCGTCCTTATTGAAATAATACTACTTTTTCTGTATAACAATTCATCCTAAATATTGTTCGCTTTGATCTTAGGTCCTTTACTATTATAAATACATTCTCAAAGCGCTCAAAATCAAAATTTAAGAATGGAAAACCTCTTAGAAAGGAGTACTTTACTAGGTGTCAATTCAAATTAGTCAAATTTGATTTGATTTTTAAAAAAAATATAGAATACTTAAATAAAAATAAAGAAACCAAAGGAACTTTTTGCACTTGCTTTTTGGACATAATTTTACATATAATATATTCTCTCTTGCTTTACATGGAAATCTTTTATCTATATATATAGCCCCATGTGGAAGATATTCTTTGCTCCCTACTCTTCCTAGCATCCATTAACACTAGATCAATTTGAGCTTTAGTAAATAAGAAAGTAAATTAAATGTTAAAAATTATTAGATATCTTAAGTTTGAGTCTCACGATTATCATCAAACAAATTTTTCATGTGTTTGAACTACATAAGAGAAATAGGATTACACGTAAGAAGAAGTGTTGACAATATAATTAAAAAATAATAAAAATATAGTCTATCAGACACAATTTAAAATTTTAGATTAAATAGACGCATACTTCGATATGATATAAGCAAATACAAATTTTGAATTCGAATCTCATAGCTTATCATTATAGAACAAAATTTTCACGTATTTAATTATAAAAAATTAACAGATCGACACGTAAAGAGATGTGCCGACAATAGAATATTATGTAACTTTCATTGACAAGAAATTAAATAGAAGCATTGTCCACATTTTCTCTTCTTTTTTTTTGTTCTTTTTTCTTCTTTAATTTAATTCTCAAAATACCTTTTTCAAAAATAAAATTCATAATTTTCTCTCCATTTCATTTTCTTTGTTCTCCTTTTCCTTATAAAGATACTTATAAATTCATGTTTTTTCTTCTTTTTTTTTTGGTAACAAAATCGAGGGCAATTTAGTTATTGTACCAAAAGTACAACTTATCACCATATTATTTATTCATAAAACCAGTTTTAACACTTGATAATATTTATCAATACTCTTTATAATATCACTAGGTGCTTATTGGTCTGTATTAGCATGATTTCAATATTATGAAGTTATTTAGCGATAGGGTGTATATAGTCGATTTAAAATTAATTTATTTACATAATAAATATTTGAAAATACACGTAAAAAAATATTTTAAATTTTTTTAATTAAAAGTGTCTAAAAAGAATATTTTATTATTTTCTCAATTAAAATAAAATTATAATCTGAGTATCTAAATAAAACTTGATGACAAATTTAAATTGCTTATCAATATATTAAGCCTTTTTATAATGCCGCTGAGGAATTAATGAAAAGGATAAACAT